TAATATTACTTTTAATAAAAAAAGTAATATTATTATAATATAAAAACATTAAATATTTTTAGATGTATTTTATTAAATATAATATATTTAATAAAACAAGGTAATATTATTATAATATAAAATATTATTTATAATATAAAAATATTAATGAGTAATAAATTTAGAGTTTTAAATAAATAGCCAAACACCACCTTGTGGTTTTTGCTTACATGTCACATATGTCATACAGGATTTATGTTACTGTTGCCCTCTGCCACACCGGATTAAAAGCCTCTGCTAAGTGCTTAAAATGTAAATGTCAAAATGCTTCTTCCTCTCCATGTCAGAAAGAATCAGTCATGTATGAGCATCCATCATTATTTGGGATTAAACGAACCCATATGGTGGCTGCTGGTTGGACCAGACTGACGTCACCCTCTCATACTGCTCAAATCTTGTTAAATATTAGGTAAAAAAAAAAAAAGAAGAGTCAAACAGTAAGTGAGACAAAAGTGTTGCATGATCTCCGGATTTAAAAAAGAAAAAAATCTGTATGATTTACAGTAACTGCTGCAATAAAGCTGTTTCTCCAACTGTATAATCTGAGTTAGGTGGTATTTTGTTGGGTTAAGTGCAGCCTCACCGAACGGCTTTATACAGTATGGGATGAACAGAAAGTAAAAAGGGATGGACAGACTGTTATCACTCTGTATTAGATCAGTCGAGTCCTCAGCGGCCCAGGACAGCATAAGGATTTACTCAAAAGCATAAGACTGTAGCTTAAATACGCAACATGCAACTTATTCTATTACATTTTATTGCATTTAACATTGTTTACAACCATTTAATCTGTTTAATGCAACACTATAAAGCACTTTGAGCTATAAAAATAAACTTTATTATATTACTTAATGAGTCAAAAACATTACCTTCAGCCACCGGCATTTATATGAATAGTTATTATAAGTGGTTCTCCATTTTGCAGTCAGCTTCTGAAGATTTGTAAAAAATTACAAGCAGTGCGCCACCCCTTGTAGGAGTGTTTTTAAGTCAGCCCAAAATGAGGGCAATTCCAAAATGAACTGTTAAATGAACTGTTGAGGGGCTTTAAGTCTGTGTTCATGCCGAACCCTGAAGCTCTGCTGAATCCCGGGCTGTGAAACTTTGAACTCAGCAGTTCTATCCCAGCAATGCAGTTTGTTAACAGTGGTGTGGCACACGAAAGGTGTGTTCGGATGGAGTAGGAGGCGGCTCTTAGAGGCAGTGCAACAACGGTGGCGGAAGTTGAATCCCTCTCTCTCTCTCTTTCTCTCATTTCCTGTCATCTCTTCACTGTGCTGTAATAAAGGCTAAACATATTTAAAACAGCTGTAATCAATATTTCTGCAACAACAATGTGAGAACAATGTGACAATGTCAAAGACGTCAGCTGAGGTGATGAACCTAGTGAGAATTATCAGCTCCCCCCAGCTGTACTTCAGCTTATTGTTTAGCTTTAGGTCTAACAACTTTCCTGTTTTTTTACTGCTCATCAGTCAGCTGTTCAGAGAAAAAGCTCTAAACCCACTGTGGACTACATACTCAGCTGCAAACAGCAGACACACACTAGATGGTGAGCACAGTGAAACAGTTACCAGCTAAACAGCCTGATATTTTTCTCAGGAGTTGGTAAGGACCAAAACAGATAAAAACAGATAAAGTGAATATTAGACTCATAACATGGCCAGAGCTAAAACTCCTAATACATGCTGATGTTGCTACTTCATTATTTAAAGTTTAAATGTTTTCTTAAAAGGTGATAATATGTCAATGTTATGTTTACAACTTTACAACTGTTTCTGTCTGAAGTGGAAAAAACACCAACCAATTAGTAAATAAATTTACTAACCAAAACTGTACAGTGTATGAGTGGATGTAAAAAAGAAAATACAAATTTGCTCTTTGTGCCATGAAATGAGGCAAGGACACATCTGCATGAACTGATGTACATCTTAAGGCTTGATGACTCCATAAATATGCACAAAAAAACTGACTAACTAAGAGACTAAGATGGCAAGTTTTAAGGGCAGAGGCTGACACCTATGTCTAATGTATGTCCAGTTTATTATTGCATTGGTATTGTATTAGTATTGGTGGTTTTTATAAATATAAATAGTTATGGCAATTGTTATCTTGACCCAAATAATTGCGATGCACAACAACCATCACACTAATCATGAAGACAAGTGTATACTTTTAAAATGGCACTAAAATATACTGGAATCACTTTATATATATACACACATATTTATTACATCACATATAGACACCTCATCTCCCTGTTCTTTACTTTGGAATCTATACTGTTTCCACACATGGGGGATATAACAGGCAAGCCAAGCCTTCAGGGGACGCCTGCATTGTTCCTGACTGGAAAGATACATGTTGCCCCTCGCCCCCTTGTTCAAAATAAATCAGGAAATCAATATATGTCTGTATGCTGGTGAGCTAGACATGTGAGGATATTGATGATCATCCCAATTCAGGATTATCAAGATGTTCACCACGTTTTTTGTCGCAATACGCACTAATATCATACATCATCCCATCCCTAGTGGCAATAAAGCAAGGCAAATATTCAACTCATGGTGGAACATTAAGTAAACATTTACATACCAGCACCTTTAAAGTTGATATGTGTTAACAAACAATTTCCCCTTTACACATCCAACATGCAAGGAGCAACATCAGCATTTATTAGAGGTCACATTTGTGTTCACCTGATGAATGGATGTTCAATATTGACTCCTCTTTTAGCTCTAGTCTCCACCAACCCCTGAGAAAAATAACTCTCTTGCGTGATGTCAATTTAGTTTATCAGACATTAGCAGTCCTGGACATTCAACAATTTTTCAAATCACTTTCCTTAAAGGTCCAGGGGGTAGGATTTAGTGGCAACCACCATTATAGTTGCATGTCGCAACTACATCGCTTCACCCTTCCCTTCCAAGCATGAAGGAGAAACAACGCCCCTATCTTGAGCCAGTGTTTCGTTTGTCCATTCTGATCTTCTTCTTGTTCTACTTATGGCTGAACAAGCAACATGTGTGTGCTGCTGTGCTGTGTGTCTGTCTTTGTTCCCTTTACACCTCTGACTATGAGTCTGCATAGCCACAGCCGTTCTGTGACACAACGTCACAAGCAGATTTATAAGTCTGGATCTGTGCCCCATAGTCTACTACTGAAATCTTTAGTTGGGGGCAGACCTAATACATATAGAACGTAGTGAGATATGTACATAAATAAACAAATACGAACAATCTTCATATGGATACATTTTTCTTTTTTTGGCTCCATAAGTTAATTACAGCACATCTGTATCCAAATAACCAATTGTGTCAACTAGTTTAGGTGAGCTAGAATTAAAATAATATGGTTTTCTGTTAAGAGATTCCACATGAAACGTAAATCAGAGTGCTTCCATATATTTACGTATTTACAGTAAAAACAGGCAGCTAGGAAGGGACTTGACGCAGTAGCCAATAGCGCTGTGTCGTCGTTCCTCCGGTCAAGCAGCTGTAATGGACCCATTAGCTGACACTGCCGGACCCAGTGAACAGCACAGACAGACTGGGACTGAATGCAACGTCGGATGCTCGCTAACAGCAGCTACATTAGCAGTTCATGCATACGTAAACATACGTCACATTTAGTTTTACAGAAAGAAAATTATATTTTTTAAATAAAAATACCTTGTAATATGTTTGTTTTTCTTTTGGAATTGGCTGAACAAATCCTTTAAAGTCTTTCCAATCTAAACATTTACTCGCTCTCATGGTGATGCGGAGATAAAACTTTCAGCTTGTAAAACACATGGCTTAGGTTTATAAAACTGAATGCTGTAAATAATGTGTAATGAATCATTGCTGCAATATTGCTTATTTCTGAGAATGATACAAATGTGAGGCAAAGCTTTAGCCACACACACACACAGACACACGCACACGCACACACACATATGCATGCACACGGTCAGTTGTCAAATCCCCAAGCTGTGTGTGATCAATGTGGATTGACCCGAGCGGAGACGGGCGGCTCGTCACTCCAGGGGCAGAGAAACAACAATCAACCCCCCCCACCCCAACCCGGCCTGCTGCCACCCCCAACACTTACGTAATACCACAAGCATTGCATAAGAGCTCTGCAGCTCCAATAGAGACAAAAACACACAGAAAGAGAGAGAGAGAATCCTCCAAATCCTAAACATCATTAAAGGGATCTGAGGAGGCCACAGCAGCAGAAAAGACGCCGCTTTATGCAGATGACAGATGGCTTTTCCTCCATCTATGACAAAGCATGCTTAGCATCTGTTGTGATGGAAAGATACACACACATATCAACACATGCAATGTGTAGGGGAAGACTGCTGCTGTCACGTGAAAACCATATATCTCTTAAGATTCCACATTTACCTAAAATGCTACCTTGTATTTTTTATTAGTGGGTTTTACACGTTTTTTAAACGTATGACTTCTCTCAAGGTGACACAAAGAAAAGACCAACCTAATGCTAACTTACCAGATGTAAGGAAGTTGTTTTACAGTGATATTTTACAGGCAGCCTCACTGCTGACATCTAACACCATCATGATTTCTTTAAACTTGTTTTCCCTTTTAATATACACAAACTAAAATAAATTAATCAATATAAGAAATTTTGTATAAATACAAAATATAACCCAGGACTCACTAGAAACAGTGAGGTCATGAGCAGGTCCACCAAAGACATTTCTGACTAGGTACCAAACCTTACTTAAAAACAAATAAACAAAAACTTTGCTAACATATCAATCACATCTGTATATAAAAAAGCTGTAACTCTTATTCTATTTTTTTATTTTATTATTTATTTTTTTAATGTTTTCTTATACGTCATTTTGTATTTTGAGGGTAAAATAAAAAATAGAACTGCACTGCAGAAACTAGAATGTGTCCTGGCCAATGTGCAACTGACATGGTTTGGAAAATGATCATTTTAGACTTAATAACTGATTTGTTGCTCACTATCTGATTCTCTGTGTTTAAATGGTGAGGAGCTCAGATCAGAATCTGCTGACAGTCAACTCAGTTACACCGTAACATTAAGGGACTGTTGTACTGAGGAAGTTCTAAGGTACCTACTAACTGCCTGAATGACTGTTTGAATCAACTTTGTCAGGAGGTCAGCAACTGTTCCTCTGTTACCTGATGGTATATAAGGCATTCTGACAGTCCCTTCAGAGAACAACCATGTTGAGGTCTTCTCTCCATGCAGCATGGAGCAAAGAGACTTGATTGATCACACAGAGTCTGTAATTCTTTAGAGAGCTTGCAACTCTCAATATTTTAGAAGGACTGGATCACTGTTGCTCATGTAGAGTTTGGTCAATGCAAATCTTGCTGAGATGAGAAACTACTTGATTTTAATCCATGTTTCCTTTACTTCCTCCTGACACAGTATACTTGACAGTATCTGTGAACCTCACTCTGACCCACACACACACACACACACACACACACACACAGTATGCCAGTCTTGCGGTAGCTGTCCTAATCCTAAACATGGCTGTTTAATGCACCGGGAGGTACAGTAAGCGCAGCACTAAGGCTCAGACTCTGACAAAGTGCTATTCTGACAGTGTCATTTAGGTTCAGTGTTTAATGCAAACTGTCTTTGCCTCGTGCATTTATTCTCTGAACTGAGCAGCTTAAGACGGACACAGTCAGCACACCGTGTACATGTTCACAGCAGTGGGTATGAGGGAGAAATATGATGTAAGTTTAAAATGCTCGACCCTGTGGCCTTGCGCCTGCTAGTGTTTAACAGTTTAGTGCATAAGAAAGCATGCAACTACACAATCACACACACACACACACACGTATACAAACAGCAGCATGTGGTTGCATTTATTTTCTGCCACAAGTGCT